TTCAGAAAAAGAGGGGGGGGGGGGGGGGGGAAACAACTCTTCTGAAGTTACCTGTGCAGCTACAATTTCCAAAGCAAAGAGGGGAAAAAAAAAAACAACTCTTCAGAAACATTTGCCACCGGAGCATCCCCCACTGGATCTCAAAACCTGGATATAGGTTACATCTCCATACCATATCTGTTCCGAAATGCAATGCAGATTACGCAGGTCACCGAAAATTATCTTTCACGGAAAATTTATCTTTCACGGAAAATTATCTTTCACCATATAGGTGTGTTACCAGGCACAAGCACATTTCCCAACAAGAAGTCCAAACATCCATCCAGCAGCACCTGCCTCTAAGGTCCATAAGCACACTGCAAAAGATTAGCATAGGTTTCTGGAGGTACATAAGCTCATCTCATGAATAACGTACAAGCTGTTCTCGTGAAAAACTCACTTCCATCTTCTCTTATCTGGGCTCAACACGAATTGCCGAAATTGAAATTAGACAACAGAAAACCAAAATTCCCACAAAATATTATTGGCATATCAGTGATATCAGTGATATCACCCATGTGTCCTCATTCTGTCAAAAAGTATGAAATGTTAATTCTGCCACTCGCAATTGCACCATACTCTATCACACCAGCAAGGGAAGAGGAGGGAGGATCAGGGGGGATTGATGACAAGAAAATCACCAACCTTTTCCCATGCAACCCTGGCTGGGTGCGGGCGGTGTCAACTCCATTTGAAGGATATATCAGAGAGGGAGGCGGGGGGGGGGGGGATCTACGAATAATATTTCGTCATTCATATCCTCAACTGCCAGCAGAAATTTTGTGAGAAAATAATGAGAGCAAAAGATAAGAGGAGGAGCAAAGTACCCCCTTGCCAGGTTCTCGACCCCACCGAGCGCTGAGCATAGCTGGCATAGAGAAAATCATTCATAAACATAGAGCAAAACAGATGGAGGAAGGGCAGAAAAATGTATGCGACTGTCAATTGAAAATACGCAGTCAACATCCAAAACTGTGAAAAGGAACAAGCAGCCAACCACTGTCCTGAATAAACCTCTCGACGCTCTCGTAGCCACTCCTTCATGCCCCCTTGGTCAAGATGCTCTGTACAGATTACTAACACTTATGTCTCTAAAGAAGACCATCCCATCCCATCCCATCCCACTTTCTGCCAGAGTACTATCACCTGCCAAGAACGTTGTCTCCTCTGCCTACTTCTCCACTCCAGAACAGATCAATGCCCTCGCTCTGCACAGTCTCGACCAACGGACCAACAAAGTGTCGTTGAGAACTTGACAGCCCAAATAATGAACACATTCTGTGGACCTTTTCGACTCAAATGATCCAATCCAACATATCATACACTTGCAAGTTTGGTCCTCTCCCCCAGCGATCAGACGACCACCTTACATTCAAACCCAACCCATCTATGGCTCAGGGATGAGGGCGAGGTTCTCATTGTCCACATCATGACCGACGCAGGATTTGCCGCATCCGGTTTTAACCCGAAAAAGAACCATCTTTAACTAAAGAACACCTATGTAGTGCAGCCCGCACTGAGGGCATAGAGCAGCAAACTACTGACCAAAGCTATGGGTGGCCAACAACGGGCAGCCATTCATAAGACATCCGCTGCCCTCTGCAGAGACAATACGTAGAAATCCACGCCCAAAGTTAGGGCGACTAAGGGCAGCTACAGTTATGCAACGCAGCAATTACAGTGCAATACTGTACAGGAGGGAGGGAAATGAGAAAGGTTATAGGGAAGGTAAGGGGGGCAGAAGGAAGGTGCCGGGCGGGAGGAAGAAGAGAGGGGGAAGGACAAAAGAGCAGAAGAGACAGCGAAATCTGCCCTGCACCAATCAACAGATGCCTATTTACATGGAGGAAGATCATGTTGCATAAAACAACTACTACGACTACCGTTCACCAGTTTGCCATACCGCACACCCGAGACAAGGGAATCCTCATCCCCCAGTGTCACAAAACCCAACCAAATGGCATGGGGTCCCAACAGAATATCATGGTCCCTTGCCTCAGAAGACAGGGACAGACCCAGCTTCCTCCCTTCACGAAAGGATAGAAGGTGGGCAACTTCGTTCCCAGAGACTTCAATACCCAACTCGCTTGCCTCTATCGACTCTAAAACTCCGAAGATGAGGTACTTCTAATATACCAGACAATGCTAAGGTATCTCCCTCCTTGATCTGGAAGAAACAAAGCGTAAAATGAGAGAGAATGGGAAAGCAAATGGGATGTTCGCAAAGCAGCAAGGGAAGAGCAAGAAGCAGAGAGTTGGGCAGTGTAAAAGCAAGGAGGCCGTGAGTGGGAAGGTGGGGGAAACACAAGGGAATCAAGACAGGTGAAGAGAACAGAAGAGGACAGGAAACAGATGGAGCAGGACGAGGGACGAAGGAAGGAAAAGTAACTGAGAGAAGCGGAGACAAAGAAGGGGAGAGGAAACAGACGTCGTGGAAATGCACTCTGCAACCCAGCAGTGAATGACCAATCAACCCCAAACAGGGAGTCGGATTCAATCTGGAGTTCAAAGGAAAAGAGAACTTCAAAACCAGCTGTTCAAGAGTAGCATTCTCAATGATCAGCTTGCGTTCTACAGACATCGTCTACCATCCCTTGGAAAGGGACAACAGACTCTCTTGATGATGCCCGTCAATATTATGGCACACCTCTGTGCCATGCCATCTGCTGTGCACAAAGCAAAGCAAACACCCTCTCCGTGCACAGCCCAGGCAAAGAAACATGAGAAAGATGGCACTAAAAATTGCAGGGGCAAGACTACAACCAGAGCAAATGAGCCAGACGAGAAACCACGCCGGCTGCCCTCAGTGGACCTTACCCAAACCCAAGAGAAATTCCCACGAGAGAACGAGAGCAAGAGCGCGCACGCGCGGGGGAGAGAGAGAGAGAGAGAGAGAGAGAGAGAGAGAGAGAGAGAGAGAGAGAGAGAGAGAGAGAGAGAGAGAGAGAGAGAGAGAGAGAGNAGAGAGAGAGAGAGAGAGAGAGAGAGAGAGAGAGAGAGAGAGAGAGAGAGAGAGAGAGAGAGAGAGAGAGAGAGAGAGAGAGAGAGAGACAACTGCCTATAGCCTTATGACACTATCAACGATCACCCACTTACAGAGACTGAATGGTGACAAGCCTGCCTGAATTCAAGTTCATGCTGAACCAGTTCAAGGCCAGCATATTCAGTGCTCAAAACTTCCAATCCACTGTGATAAAATGCCCATCAGAGAGCGCATCAAAAAATACTACATTGGAGTGTGCAACAGTAACTTATTATGAGAACTTCGAATGGCTTCATCTGCAACCATGCCATGCCAGAATCATCACCACCAAGTAGAGGAGCAAAGAGCTGCCCCAATACAGTGATATTCTTTCCAAGGGTCAACCTCCCTTGCAGACACAAACAGGAGGCGCATCAATTCCTACCAAGTATCCAGATGCATGCATGCAGCCAGGAAAGTACACTATATACTCACACCGGCGTCCTATCGAAGTGATGCCTGGAGTCGAAGACGTGGTTTCAAAAACGGGCTAACAAGACTCGAGCAGGATCAAGAAAGAAGACCAAATCTCCACAAGAAATGCCCACATAACCAAGACACTTGAACACTTCCTGCTAATGGAGGACACTGCCGAGGCAAGGGTCAGGCGCGGTTCAACTGATGTTTTGACAGTTGAAGTGGAAATCTGGTATAAGGATTGCTGCACGGCAGCTCGCCATACAGAGCTCCATACATATGCAAACGAGGAGCTGCAATAATGGTCAAGTGCAAAAGGAAGCCTGTCGGGAGCTACTTGACACTGTTTGTGTACAACAATTAACAAAAAGGGGAAAAATACCTACCAAGGAAGATCAGTAACTCTCTGATAAGTATCCCAGCATTTATGCTACCGTGGCCACGACACTTTCTTCCAGCTTCGAGCGCTGCTGTCTATTCCATGGGGATGAGGATGATCCAAGCACATTCGTCGCAGGCTCTATCTTCACAGACTTGGCACCGGAATCCCGCTCCATCCCTGCCACAAGACTCAGTGTCTTCTTCACCACGTCACTTTTCCCCCACAGCGTTCTGGTTACAAGACCCTCCCTGTCCCTCCTCACGAGTGCCCCTCCCTCTGTTGCATCATCATCCAGTACTAGGGTTACAGGTGCTGAATTATCCGCAGCATTGTCTTTGATATGCACTAACTGCATTCCTCTTCTACTCTTTCCATCGACTTCTCTGCAAGGGGATGGTTTCCCACGGGAACTCGTGCTCACTCCAAATGAAACGTCTGCCGCACTGTTCGTTGCAGCATGAATCTGAAATCGACAGATTAGCAACATTTCACCACGTGCGAAAAGACAAAAACAAAGATTCAGAAGTCTTTTTTTTCAAAACTCCACAGAGTACCACAACATCCACCAGGTGTAGGAATCGAGTCAATAGACGGCGAAATGCCTTCATTCCAGATCAACTCGCATTCAAAATGGTTTCTGAAAAGTTAAGACGGATTCAGACAAAGGCATATGACGCCTCGAGCAGAAACTCCGGCCAAACAAGAATGACTACAACCCATCCCTTGCATGCACATAACACTAACTGCTTTTCAGCAGGTTTGCAACAGAAAAACGGCACGCATGTATTCCTGCACACATAAGGTTAAGAACACAATGCGGGGGGAAATGGCAGCAATGGAAACAAAGAAACATTTGTATGTGTGTGCTGCTGCATGTGTTTGCATCATTCTGTGTGCATAATGGAATGTCGATACATTTCTAAATGTGCATGTCTATCTCTGTGCGAGTGTGACCAAACGTGTACACAAAGAACATTCTACTCCCCCTTCTTCTATTGTTAGTTACAATCACTGTGCATGTGTGTGTCTCTGTGTACACATGCCCCACTTGATGCACGTGTGCATGTAGATGCATCTCTACATCTGAATGCTCCCGTCTGCCTGTGAACACACATGTCCACAAGGTACCTTCTCCTCCACCTCCTCCACTCCTACTTCCTCTTCTTCTTCTTCTTCTTCTTCTTTGTTGTTATCACTACCTCCTCCCCTTCCCCTTTTGCCTCCTTAAGGAGGCTCCGCATGGGGGTGCTATAGCTCACAAACTATTAGATGTTATTGTGAAGCGGTATACCACCACTGAGGTGCTTAGCTCGGGACAAAAATGAAGACGGGTATTACAAGTAGGCATAGGGAGACCACCTACTTTGCAATATGATGCGATTGCCCACTTCTTCTGTCTACCATATTTCTTCCTCTTCCGCATGAACAATCATGCTTCCCAGTTCAGGTAACTGTGCATACCATGTGCGACTTCAGCTCTCCAAAACCTACACATACTAGAGGACTCTACTGCTGTCACTCCTAGGTTTGATATTGCAACTCTTTGCAGTCATTTGAATAACAATGGAAAATGCAAAGCACAACCTGATTCCTAACATTTGATCCCTCCTCTATCGCTTCGTCTTGAACCACCACCCCCTCCTCCCCTCACCGCACCAGCATCATCACAAAATTGTTTCAGGCAAACTCTCCCCCTTGTCTTTTCACTCTCCCTTCCTGCTTTTGCTGCTTCTTCTCATTTCCTCCTTTGCCATAATTGTAAGCATGCATGCACACATCACAACCACTCTTCCTCATCATCACCCCTCCTTGGACAGCACCTGTTTCTTTCCTTTTGCTTCTTCCTTTTCCATTTCCCTCATGTTGCTTTTTTCAACTCCCATTGTTCTTGTGCTTGTTTTGGGGTTCACTTTTCTGTCATGCGCAGCACTTCATATCTTAGACTTTTTCTTCCCACTTTGTGACTTTGTCCTGATGCAGCATAGTTTTGCCTTTTCCCGCCCACCATTTTGTTTTCTTTGCCTTTCTGTGATTCACTTTGTTTTGAAGTACTTCGCACTTACTGATTCTTTTAAAGAATTTCATTGTTTTATCTTTATTGTTCACTATTCTTGCATTGTTCTGGCTTTTTTGCGTTCTTCTGCTTCTTTGGTTTCTGCTTCCTATTGCCATTGTTCCCTCCTTTTTTAGGTGCTCAGCTACATCCCTTTTTTTTGGTTTTGTTCATTGCTTCCCAGCTTTTCAAACTACTTTTTATGCTCCTGTGGCAAGTATTCTTTTCGCTCAATAATTCTAGTGTTCTTTTTGCTCAATAATTCTAGTGTTACCATCATCAACAGCGTCAGCAACAGACCCAAGAGTTCGGTAGACAATCACACTAGTTTCCTGTGGGGTCCTTCATTCCTTCATCCGATCCCTTCTCAGCTATGAAGTTCGAGTATCAGAGAGTTCTTCTGTTTCCCAACAAAAATAATCCAGCTCAGCACCAACCTCTTATGCCCCCCCGCATTCCTAACCCACCTGCCTCGTAATATAATGCATACTAAAGCTTTGATGCTGACCAGTAATGCACTGCAGAGTTGGAAGAGGCAAGCCTGGATTTGTCTGCATCACGCACACTGCAAAACAATCCTGTTTTCGTTCCAGAGGGGACCAACCTGCTGTTGCAACAAAGCTTGTTCCTCTGCCAACTGGTTGTAATTTTCCCGAGCTTTCGATATCTCCTGCATCCAATCAGAGAAAATACTGAGCCAGTGCCAAGAACAGAACCTCCTCTTTCATGCAGGTGTGCTGTTGACTCTTTTCACCTCACCCAGCCCTCCACCACCTAAATCAAGTCAGAAAGAACCACAGGTGTGTAGGCAACGTTGTTCGCCGATGAAAGTGGTAAACTCATTGCCGTGTCAGATGAGTAATCTCTGACCTTATTACTTCACTATATGCGGGAAAGTCCTAACCTAATATACAATGGATAATCCGCAGGAAACCAATCAAGAAAGGGACAGTCAGCAGGCAAACAGGCACTCAGACATGTGCAGTACCCAGAGGAAAAACGAAGAGCAAGGCCAGGTTCCCTCTGGCTAATGGTGATTGATTGGCTGGATACATTTCCTGCAGATTAAGCTACAGAAAAATATTGAGCACAAAAAAAAAATACTGAGAGCTGGCAAAGAGTGGGAATATTACCGATCGCAACCGCATGTTCTCCATTGTAAGAGTGCTCACTCTAGTGCCAAGGTCCTCACATTCTGCCTGCTTTCGAAGCCTCGATCTCCGTGCAGATTCTCGGTTGCTTTGTTTCCGCCGCTGACGTTTAGCTTCCCGTTCGTCCTGGAAGCAAGAGTGCCGCAGTGGGTCAGGAAGCTGTAAGCACAACAACATTTATGGCTACTATCGAAAAGCCGGCAATGTCTTCCATGCACCAACATCCTTCCACCTGCAGATAATCTTAACAACCTCACCATGTAGCACAAGCAAACAACTGCATTTAACATCAACAGATTCAACACCCAAAGTGAGAGTTCATTCACTAAGGGAGCACAACATTTATGCTACTCGGAGATTAAAATAGCAATGCAAATCGAAAAGCCCGCAATGTCTTCCATGCACCAACATCCTTCCTCCTGCAGATAATCAGGGCAACCTAGCCACATAGCACAAGCGAACAACTGCATTTAAACCACCGGTACCTTACGCCACTTGAAAAAAAAATACAGCGGCCGGTTACCCGCAAGTTCAGCCAGGAATCGAAATGGCTGGCGGCACCAGCCAGAGACATCTGCCACGGTTCATTTGTCTTTGGCACGCAGGGCGAATTTAGGCCAGCACACGCGAACAACTGCATTTAAACCACCGGTACCTTTCCCCACTTGAAAAAAAAAATACAGCGGCGGGTTACCCGGAAGTTCAGCCAGGAATCGAAATGGCTGGCGGCACCAGCCAGAGACATCTGCTGCGGCTCATTTGTCTTTGGCACGCAGGGCGAATTTAGGCTGGCAACCGATGTATGGGAAAGGTACTGGTGGTTTAACATCGACAACCAAAGTGAGAGTTCATTCACTAAAGGAGAACAACATGCTCTAGGACAACAAACTTTCGAGTGTACAAATTCGTAGGAGTTCTGATCAGATAGTGAGAGGTCATTCACTAATGGCCAGCATCAAGCCCTAGGATAAGTCGTTTCCCAGCATGCAAATTGGAACTGCTTCTCTACCACAAGCCTACACAACTTCCCGCTTACCCACAACCCGTCGAGACCAATCAGCACACGTTCTGAAGGACATCGACAAGCCAGATAACCCGAGCTTAGCTCGGGAGACTATCATGGGTCACAAAGCTCACACCATGGACCAATTGCGAAGTAAGATGAAGACTTAGCAAGTTGGATAACCTACCGTTCCCTACGTATTCGGGTACCCAAATACTTATCTCCATTTCTTCAGCCAAATAGCTCTGGTCGAAACATGGCCTCATATAAACGTTTTGCAAAATTCATATCCCATAGGGTAAAGATGATTCCATCAACGGAAAACAACTGTTGACGTATGCTCACCAAGGTAGAAGATGCTAGCCCTGCTGCCAATCGAGTAGACTCAGAGGATGTCGTTGTCACTGCTGAACAAGGAAGGCCATCCTTGGCAGGTGCGATCTGTGCACAAAGAAATACATCATCAGAGGTTGAAGCAACAGGGTTGTGCCTAAAGGATGCAGTGCTAGAGCAAAGCCAGTATATTCCTTAGATGTACTCGTTCCCATACGCTCACCTTCAGTATCCATCATGATGGCCAGCAAGAAATAAAAAGCAGAATAGTGAGGGAAGGATGAGACCCAGCCAAAACAGCCATACCTCAGCAGCCATGGAAACCTCTCTCTCTCTCTCTCTCTCTCTCTCTCTCTCTCTCTCTCTCTCTCTCTCTCTCTCTCTCTCTCTNTCTCTCTCTCTCTCTCTCTGTGTGTGTGTGTGTGTGTGTGTGTGTGTGTGTGTGTGTGTGTGTGTGTGTGTGTGTGTTGTCATGTTCACTGTACACAACTCCCCAAAAAAGCATGGCTATGCCAGACTGTTTTATCAGATTTTCATTGACGTACTCACCCTGGAATCCTAGCAGACTGTCTATGCATGTACCACGCATCCAGTGACCGAGCTTTACGCCAAGAAATAGTTTCACTCACGGTAGAGATTTCATGTAGAAAAGATTCCAAAGCTCCCCAGCATAGTGCAATATTGGCCGTAAGACCCAGGTGACTTCAGCATGCATACTACATATGATACGCAGAGCAGGTAGTAACAGAAAAACAAACAAGGAGATAAGGGATTAATGACAAACAGTTTCGCCGAACTCTCACCAACTCATCAGAAGGATGAACACTGCTAAGGAAGGAGAAAGGTTTCGACTGAAAGAACAGATACCAACCATTTTACCTAGCCACCACAAACAGGAAACCCCTGAAATCTTCATGAAAGACCCATAAATCATGCTTGGGTCACTATGGTTGAAAACACTCACCGCAACATGGTCCATTCTACTAATCATTGGATCAGGCATCATGACTTCAAACTTCCTTTTTCTTTCCATTACATCAACCTGTAGTTGGATTCACAAATCAGATCACACCATGCCCACATCACAGATCATAAGTAAGCGTACAGCCAACCATGGCAGCTACATAGATTCCAACAATAGAAGAGTGGCAGCACACTGCACCCCCCTTTTCAGAGAGTCCCAAGAAAATCCAGAAAGCTCCAGTGGAATAATGAGACATACGTTCTGATCCAATACACTGATTCACTGACAGCTTCGTTCGATTCTTCATTCGAGACGTCGGAAGAGAGTTATCTACAGCTCAAGCCCATACACTAGGGCAGGGATGCACTGTGATGCCTTGCCTTTTGACTTTTTGACCTGAAAAGGTCCTGAAGACAAAAACGAGGAGCGACAAAACATAGGATCCAAGTGAACCCTGGAAAGGGATGGAAACTGACCACTGGGAGGGGGATTGGACGTGGCATGGTGAAGAGCAGGAATGTGTCATAGCGATCACACAACTTTGAATATTCCCGACAAGTTTGAATATTTCCTACAGAGCTTCCAATTTGGATAGCGAATCGTGATGGAACCTTGCGGCAGGATCATGATCACAACGGAACCTTGCGGCAGGATCATGATCACAACGGAACCTTGTGGCAAGTTGTATCAACGCCATTTTCCACACTACAATTAAAAACTACTAGTGCTGGCTGAAACATTTCCAATGAGCAGATTACAAAAACAGGACCTCTGCTCATTGAAAGCTCTCTCTTGTGAAATGTTGGGCCAAGTCAGGGCCAAGGTTGGTTCAGGTTTGCTCCAGCTCTACACTTAGGATCTTCGTTTGCAACTGTGTTCAGGTTTCCAAGTGCGCACTTCGACTTGTATTTAAGTTTCTGCTCAGAACTGTCATCCAACTCTACCATCTTCCACGTTCGCTCCAGCTCTGCACTTGTTCTCCATTTGCAACTATTTTCAGGTTTCCAAGTGTGCACTTCGACTGCATTTAAGTTTCTGCTCAGAGCTGTTATCCAACTCTACTGTCTTCCGCCCAATAAAACATCCAGCCATTATCGCTGTACCAGGACTGAGAGTTGGCCCAAATACATAATGACCATACACTCTATTCAGGCGAAGATGGTAACTACACACTACGGAGCTCGAGTGCTGCTACTGTGATTGCTGCCCTTCCATGTCTACTCCAATGTAAACACAAACCGTTGGAGGGTCATGAAAACTATGGGGGCGTCATACAATGTGTGCTTTGAAATGGAGTATTTGATGGTAGACCTGTGTCTCTATATGCGGAAGCAGCTGCATAAGGGAAAGCATGGGCGAACTCTGTAATAACCATGATTCAGTTCCCCATGGCTCAACTTCGGTTCAGGTCATTGGATTCCACTGTGTTTTATCGGTCTGCATATCTGGTGGTCCACTTGCCAAATGTCCGTTCCCGCTCTGATTTACTCCCCTTCTCGCAGCTTGCATCAATAACTTGAATCATTTCTGCACTCCTCAGTCCCCCACCTCTCTCTCTCTCTCTCTCTCTCTCTCTCTCTCTCTCTCTCTCTCTCTCTCTCTCTCTCTCTCTCTCTCTCTCTCTCTCTCTCTCTCTCACTCACACACACACACACACACACACACACACACATGGTGCAGCAACTGCAACTGGAGAATTGGATGTCGTGCTTCCACAGTCCACACCTGAACCGGTCCTGTCTGGTCTCTGCAGGGGTGGCCGCTTAGGTGGCCACTTTGCAACCAAAACACTGATTGGCCCCTTGTCCCATTCTCTAGCAGTCGGCTCTGCCTGTGCGCATTGATGACCCTGCAAGGTTCATCTTTCCGCTGTTCTGCATCTTCCTCCCTCCACTCTCCTCCTCTTAGCCCCACATGATCCTCTCCCTCCCCTCGTCCAGAACTTAATGCATGTGAATAGGCATCAATGATCATTCAGAGCACAGAGGAGATATAAGGTGCAGGTGTGCTGAAAAGCAAACGGGTGTGTACACATTCCAGTCGTGGTGGACCTTGCACGCCTAAAGAATATAACAATGAAATGGCCGTTCCACGAAAACATTACAATCATTTAAGATATAATAATGCATAACTTGATAGAAGATTGTAAGGTAAGGCTATTTCAATGTTCCATCTACTCATCTGGATGGAAAAGGGGTTGTTCTGGTGACAGTCTAAGCACACACACACACACACACACACACACACACACACACACACACACACACACACACACACACACAGTCCTTACCCATCAGCCAAATGCATCATGGGCAAACTGTCGAGGCGGTGAAAGTCCAATGAAAGTCTGGCGCGGTCGGTATAGCGAACACACACAAACAGAAACAGTCTGGCACAGTGCTTTTTTGGTGAACCGTGCACAGCTAACACACACACACAAAAAAAAAAAAAGCAAAAAGTCAGCACCGTTGCCAGTTAAACCACCAGTCGTATAGAATGGCCTGACAAGTTAAAAACTGGCCGCGCCTAAGACTCACAAAGGTCCGTTGAAGGTTCAAGTGGAGCCTCCCAAACACCAGAAAGCTAATAAAGTAAGGCTTCTTAAGGGACTGGTGCTTTTCTTTCCCCAGGGAGGACAATTCTTGGAGTTGTTCCTCCAACAGAGCCCTCTCCTATCTCCCAGATTGTCTGTTTTTTTGTTGCATGACCAGCAATGACTGACATGGTTGGCGTGAAGGCCAACGTGAGGCATGGATATTGACCAAAAGGATAAATCAAGGCGTCCCAAAAGACCTACCGCATCGCTCCCACTGGATCCATCACTCCCATTTTCCAGCCCGATTGCTGGACGGGTCACTGTGTTTGCGGGTGCAACTGCAACGCCTACAGGATGCATGAGAACCGCTGTTGTCGCCCCTCCTTCGCCACTCTCTGCAGACTGGAAACGACAAAACAAGGGGCCATTAGCAAAACCACGGAGAGCAAACGACACTGCGGCGTCAATCTTCATTAGCTTCCTGAAGAGTTCCTGCGGCGGGGATCTAATCAGACCCTTGTGAACTGATGAAGCTCACAACAGTGGAGGGGCCTGGAGGTTCAACCAGGTGAAATGAGCTTAAAAAGAGCTTTACCTTGAAGAGTATGAAAAAGGCATGGCCTGCAGACAGAAAAGCGGTAACAAGGTCGAATCTAGTGTTGTATGTGCTACGTTATGGACCTGCTTCCACCAGCGGTAGGGGCAAGAGCAAAGCAACGTGTATTTGGGTGGCAATATATGTCCATACATATAGGTCCATAGTCCAACAGTATGAGCCTAGAGCAAAACCAACATAAAAAAAAACTATCAGAATACGGAGGATGCAAGACATGAAAAATGGGAAGCAGTGAGTTGGCAATATTGTGGCACATGAAGTTGATACAGAATGCAGCGGTTAGCAAGAGTCAGACTCTCTCTCTCCTGCAACTTCCACAAGACATAAGGATTGGCAATGAAAGGTGCACATAGCAACCTCTCCATGAGAGAGAGAGAGAACACCGAACAACAGTTTCCAAATATGCCACACACGATACCATATGCCATCATTGTACGACACCACAGAGGGCACACTTAAGACTGATCACGAGTTCGCATTCTATTTCAGAGGATCTGCCGGATGGCTTACACAGTCAAAAACCTTCAGTGCCGGTAATAGCCTTGCTTGCGAGAAATGGAAGGATGTCGATATGCGTAACCCTTCAAACCACCAGTGCATCCAAGCCTCCTTCGTACATGGAGGATTTGCCCTACACACCAAGCTTTGCCGAAACATAGCACCACATTTTTGTTTTCGTTTTGGCTGCAGCTCCAGCCATTTTGGTCTGGTTGGCCTGAGTCTCCGAACTTTTCGGATTGAGCCGATTGCTGTTCTCAAGTTGCCCAGGGTCATGCACTGGTGGTTCAAGGAGTTTTCTCTTTCATTCCTCTTCCACTTGAAGCCATCCATGAATACAGATATAACCTTTCGACTCATCCATGAAAACAGATATAACCTTTCAACTCATCCATGAATACAGATATAACCTTTCAACTCATCCATGAAAACAGATATAACCTTTCGACTCATTCGTGAAAACAGATAAATGTCTCATTGGACAACCGAGAGCAGACATTCTTCAACCACCACTTCACGCAAAACATGCACCGGTGCACAGGGAGGCAGTGCATCCGCGGTACTGGGTCGCAATCACCCTGTTCGATTCCTTCCTGATGCTAGTGCTACTCGTCAATCACCCTGTTCGATTCCTTCCTGATGCTAGTGCTACTCGTCGGAGACCAGCAGAAGACCCGGTGGAAGTCTAAGGGGCTGAAACAACGGTCTCGAGTTCAGAATAACCCCTTCTTTACATTGTGAGTTGCCCACGCCGACAACTCTCATCGGAGACCACCAGCTTCTCCGGCGAGTTATAAAGCCCCCGCCGGTAAACAACCACGCATTGCACCCATGGCTGGTCCAGTGCACCCAGGGCTGGCCCAGCCCCAGAAAAAAAATGTGGCTGCGAACCTGAACCACTGGATTGCAATTGCGGCATTAGGATCGTATATGTACGGCCAGCCAGCAGCAGTTCATTTTTCAGCCGCCACACCCTGCCCTACGAGTCCAGGGTTGGGCAATGGACAGCTTCGACAAAATAGGTTCGGGGCAGCTACTGCTGGTTCAACATTACCGTCTTCACCCGAATAGAACGCCCGGCAATTATGGCCGTATCTGGACTGAAAAATGCATCAAATACAGCTATAATGACCGGGCGTTCTATTCGGGTGAAGACGGTAGTCTATGTTGCAGGGTTAGAACTGTCCTCTGTGTCCATAAACCGTTCAAGGGGTGTCCCATTCAACTACGAGCAGCAAGACAAGATAAGCGAGAGTTATGGCTTGCAAGCGAACGCACCTTTGGACGTACAACAGCCAAGTCCACCATGGCAGCGGGAACGCCGTATCCGTAAGCTGGAGGTGGAGGAGGGGGGGGAGGGGGCGCATGTCCTGGCATTGCAGGGTGATGATATACCCCTCCGTGGAAGTAAGGATGCGGAGGCGCTCCATACGGGGGCATCACAGGCTGCAACGAGGACCACATGACACAAAAAGTACGCATGATATCGTCAATAACAACCCCCCGAAAGAAGAAAAAAAGACGCATATCTCCTCCATTCCAGGGGCAGAAAAAAAAAAAAAAAGCAAGAAAAAGGTATCATCATCAAAGTAATCGTAACATCATCATTAGGTGTTCGTCACTCAAAACGACGAGGTTCTCAGCGCACATCACGTTCTATTTCTTCTTCTTCTTCTTCTTCTTCTTCTTCTTCTTCTTCTTCTTCTTCTTCTTCTTCTTCTTCTTCTTCTAGCCTATCCCAGCATCCATCTTTTGGAATATGATAACGAGGGTCCTCAATAATTCCTTTCAGGAACAGCCAGAGCAACAGTAAGCAAAGATACGTCGAAAAATAACCACTACCAAGCGCCACCTCATTATCTTCTCCCTTCAGGATAACTTCCCGTTTCAGAAGACGTTCGGGAGGAAGAGGGAAAGAATGACAGATCGACGACGACACACGACTGGAAAGGCCGCAGTTTGAAGGAGGTAAGGCAGGGATAGTAGGCAGGGCTAAAAACACATTTATGAGGAAGAACGAGAGATGAATTCCACTGCACTAAGACAGGACCAAGCGTCCTTCAGCGACAAGATGGGCCAAGCCGCCAAAATCGGGAACAGGCAGAGCGACTCGTCGGACGTCACCGCCGTGGTGGATGGATGGTTACCCGGTTCGATACCTGGTTCGATCTTGTGTAAGGCCGGTCATTTCAAACATAGACACCTCATCAAACATATTAGCATGGCTGCGGCAATCGGAGGAGGAAGAGGAGCGTCTCATCTTGCATTCAATGATCCCTGATTAGCAACAAGAGGGGTGGACTTATGGCTGAGGAAGGACTTACGGCTGAGGGATAGCCAGCCGGCTAACTGACAACGGCCCTACATGTGCGATGTGATACACGTCTTATTCGTTGCTGAGACGTGCGTGCTAAAGGGGATAGAGCTACTTTGTAAGCAAACTGACGCACCTGCGGACCCCAAACATATGGAGGCGGTGCCACGTGTCCCGGATAGTACCCATGGAGAGGCGGATGAGGTCCCGTCTTGTAGTAAACCTGCAAACGAAGATGCGTAACAGCATTCAATAAGTCATAGTTTAACCACGCGTCACCCATCAATAGCCAATTATCATCATCATCATCATCATCGGCAGCAGGAGCAGCAGCATCCTTTTTTTCTCGCCCCTACGATTACGCCCACGGCCATTATCGGATATGACACCAATTAAGGCATTCGAAGTGCTCACCACAGGAAGAAAACGAAGAAAAACATCAAAGCAATGTTCACGGTAGTACTTGTCGATTCTAACCTGCATGCATTTGAAAGATAAAAAACGACGGCGTCTGTCCCTTTTCGCTCGTCAATCACCGATGGGCAGACTTGCCGCACGCATGGCGCATTGCGCCCACCAGACTGTCTTTCACTGAGTGGATCAGTTTTCCCAGCCTCAGAGATGGCACTTCAGAATGAAAGGACAGAGTAACTCGAAAACACTAACACCCAGTCACACCGAGGGGAAAAAACTATGAAAATACAAAACACGAGGCACGGGAAGACAGCGATCATGAAATTACAAGTTCATGTTTTTCGGTATGCGCCGTGGTAAGACTTCGGCTCTACTTCCGCAGTAGATACAAGACCGACCGCTTGAGAAAGAACTTGCCGTTGAACTAGGATAAAGTAATAGGGTTGAAGATTAACACAACAAGAGGGGGGGGGGGGGAAAAAAAAAAAAAAAAGCCAGATAAGGAGCCACTAATCAAAAAAGAAAAGT